TGTCCCCATCCCGTTCCCAGAGCCTCCTCCCATGTCCAGTCCTACTTCAGTGGGGTGGTGGTGGGTGAGTCAGCCATGAAGCAGGAGCAGGACGTGGGCAGCCCCCTCACCTTCGACTTCCAGGTGAGCCGGGGGGTGGCCGGTGCCAGAGGGGGGTGGATTTGGGAATGCTGGTCTCCACCTTCCACTCTGCTCCGCAGGTGACCACCAAGGGTGAGTCCCTGGGCTCCTTGGGCACCATCCTGCTGGGGTTTGAGTGGCCCTACGAGATCCCCAACGGTAAATGGCTCCTCTACCCCACCGAGATCCTGGTCAATGGCAACGAGAGCTGCCAGCCCCCCGGGGGGGTCATCAACCCCCTCAACCTCACCGTGAGTCACCCGCTGCTTGGCCCTGTGTCCCTGCCCCACTCCGTGGCTCCTTCCAGCCCCACAGAGCTGCCTGGGCTCTGATGGGGCTCGTGTCCCTCCCCCCAGCTCCTGCAGGACCAGGCTCCCTCCCGGCAGAGACGGGAGCTGGAGCCCCCCGAGCCGGCAGAGCCCCCCATCACCTTGGCCACCGCCAAGAAAGCCAAGTCAGAGACGGTGCTGGTGAGTAGGGGGTGAGGGGAGGTCCAGCAGCACTTTCCCCCCACTGGGACCACTGTTCCCGCTGCTTCTCGGCACCGGTGTGGTGCTCTGGGGACTCGGTGCCCCCCTGAGCTCCTCCATGTCCCCCAGAGCTGCTCCGAGGGCACCGCACGCTGTGTGTGGTTCGAGTGCCCCCTGCTCCACACCCAGCACCCCAACACCTTCACCCTGCGGGCCCGAGTCTGGAACAGCACCTTCATCGAGGTCAGTGCCTGGGGGGGCTGCAGGGGGGCCAGGGCTGGGCTGGGCCCATGGGGATGGGCTTGAACAGGGCAGTGAGTTTGCCAGGTCTCGGCTCAGAAGATGACACCCATCCGTGTGTGTGTGTCCCCCTCCATCATCGGTGTCCTCCCCACGTGGTGTGTCCTTCCCTCTGTCATCCTTGTGTCCCCCATCCATCATCCATGTGTGTTCCTCTCCATCATCCATGTGTGTCCCCACCATCCATGTCCCTCCCTTCCATCATCCCTGTGTCCCACATCATCCACGTGTCCCCTAATCATCCATGTCCCCCACCTGATCATCATGTCCCCTTCTCTGTCGTCTGTGTCCCCCATCCCTCATCCATGTGTGTTCCTCTCTATCACCCATGTCCCCTCTCTGTCACCCATGTCCCCTCTCTGTGTCACCCATGTCCCCTCTCTGTCCCCCATGTCCCAGGAGTTCCGGGACTTTGACCGGGTGAAGGTGACGGGCACCGCGACGCTGTTCCTGCGCTCCCACGTCCCCACCATCACCATGAGGAACCACACCGTGCGGGTGAGCGGCACCAGGGCCTTTCCTGGG